GCGTACGAGGATCTTTACCAACATTTAAGTACGAAAGAAGGAGAGAAGGACATTTATAGGATGGCTAAGGTTCGTGAAAGAAAGACAAGGGACTTCAACCAAGTTAAGTGTATTAAGAATGAAATAGAGCATCTCTTGGTGAAGGAGGATGAGATCCGACATCGATGGCAAGAGTATTTTGACAAACTGTTTAATGACAAACTGTTGAATGGTGAGAATACGGATATAACCTTTTTAGTTGGATGACTCTTTTGATGACACCAATAGGCGTTTTGTGCGGAGAATCCAAGAATCTGAGGTCAGAGAGGCGTTGAAAAGGATAAAAGGAGGTAAGGCGATGGGACCGGATGGTATCCCAATCGAGGTGTGGAGATGCCTCGGGGACATAGCTATAGTATGGCTAAACAAGCTGTTCAACCATATTTTTCGATCGAACAAGATGCCCGACGAGTGGAGGAGATGTATATTGGTACCGATCTACAAGAATAAAGGTGATATTCAAAGTTGTACTAAGTACCGGGGAATTAAGTTGATGGGCCATACTATGAAGCTATGAGAGAGAGTTATCGAGCATCGCTTGAGAGTAATAACGCGAGTCTCTATGAACCAATTTGGTTTTATGCCCGGAAGGTTAACCATGGAAGCCATTTTCTTAATAAGACAAGTTATGGAGCGGTATAGGGAAAAGAAGAAGGACCTACACATTGTTTTTATTGACTTGGAGAATGCTTATGATAAAATACCAAGGAATGTTATGTGGTGGGTTTTGGATAAACATAAAGTCCCAACGAAGTATGTCGGGCTCATTAAGGACATATACAACAATGTTGTGACTAGTGTTCGAACAAGTGATGGAGACACGGATGACTTTTCGATTAGGATAGGACTACATCAAGGGTCAGCTTTGAGCTCTTATCTGTTTGCCTTAGTGATGGATGAGGTCACAAGGGACATACAAGGGGACATCCCTTGGTGTATGCTTTTCGCGAACGATGTAGTGCTAGTTGATGAAAGCCGGACAGGAGTGAATCAGAAACTGGAGTTATGGCGGGAGACTTTGGAGTCCAAAGGTTCTAGACTCAGTAGAACTAAAACTGAGTATATGAGATGTGACTTCGGCACTACTACTCAGGAGGAGGAAGATATTAGTTTGGAAGGTCAAGTAGTGCTTAGGAAGGATATCTTTCGATATTTAGGATCAATGCTACAGAGAGACGGGGATATTGATGAAGATGTTAGCCATAGAATCAAAGCAAGGTGGATAAAATGGTGCTAAGCATCTGGTGTCCTATATGACAAAAGGGTACCACAGAAGTTAAAAGGCAAGTTTTATAGGACGGTGATTATACCTGCTATGTTGTATGGTGCAGAATGTTGGCCTACGAAAAGACGATATGTTCAACAGATAAGTGTCACGGAAATACGTATGTTGCGTTGGATTTGCGGTCATACAAGAAGGGATCGAGTTCGGAACGATGATGTACATGATAGATTAGGGGTAGCACCAATTGAAGAAAAGCTTGTCGAACACCGGTTGAGATGGTTTGGACATGTCCAACGGAGACCTCTAGAGGCACCGGTGCGTAGTAGAATCCTAAGTCAGGATAGTAACGTGAAGAGAGGCAGAGGAAGACCGAAGTTGACTTGGGCAGAGGCAATAAAAGGAGACTTGAAATGATGGAATATACTTAAAGACTTAGCCTTAGATAGGAGTGCTTGGAAAACAGTTATTCACGTGCCTGAAGCTTGATGGTTTCTGCTGGGTTTCAACTCTAGCCTACCCCAACTTGTTTGGGACTTAAAGGCAGTAATCCCAAATTCTGGTAAAGTAGAAACCCTTTGACTATTTTGGAGTGTCTGTTTCTGCAGTACTCCATAAAAACCTTACGCAAACTAGATCTTATATACATTTATGTTTGGTAAAATCAACACTTTGAATCTTGGCTGTCAAAAAAGTTTGAGCAACAAAACAACAAAAGGGGCTCTCTTCAGGAAATTCCTGTATGCTTTCTATAAAAGCCATTATTACCTGTCAAAAAAGGAGTCCCTTGTTTTGATAGTGTGAAAATACTATTATTGTTTTGGAGTGTCGATTTGTGTGGTTAAACACTGAAATCTTCTTTAAGATAGTGCTGATATATGTCTATGTGTCTAGTTTAGTAATTGTACATGCATCTAGATTTTAAATGAGAAATGGCGCCATTTGAGTTCATATGCTGTTCACCTTAATGATTTATACTGTATACATTTGCATGACATTTGATTTACATAACCGGCTAAATTATCATTTATCTTGTATACATTTGCATGACATTTGGTTTACATAACAGGCTAAGTTGTTATACGGCAATAGATTTACCGAGGAGGAACTTGAGAATATCAAATTAATGATCCAAAGCAACATGTTCAAGTACCTGGGGATTCTGCTCGAGGGCCGTGAACGCTTTGAGGAAGAGGCTTTGGCTGTATCAAATCACCCAAGCTCAGAGGGCGATGATTCTCAGCAAGGTATCAGGACAGCTGATACTTGTTCTGCTATTTTTTTTTTCAGGAGCTTATGCTGTATATTAAGTTGGTCTTTTCGATGCAGATGAAAGTACATCTTCAAGTTCTAATTCTTGCATCTACTCGATAAATGCAAAGCTGAAGAAGTTTTCTGATTGGCTTCTGGACATCATTGCAATGGGAGACCTAGATGCATTCTTTCCTGCAGCTACCCGTGAATATGCTCCAGTTGTTGATGAGCTGTGGAAAGATCCTGCCATTCAAGCAACATATAAAAGAAAGGATGAATTGCATTTTCTCCCTGATGCTGCTGAGTATTTCTTGAGCAGGGTATAAATCAAGCGTTTAACTTAAACTGATGCAGCCCATTTCATTGCTGATAACTTGCAATTAAGTACAGAGTTACCCTTGATGTATCTTGTTGACGACTTGCATTTCATGGATTCTACTAGATCAGCACTCCATATTATGACTGCTACTCTACTAGTGAATCCCTTTACCCACTAGTAATAAAAAAAAGGGCGGACCCAGTGCTGAGAGCATCCTGCACTGTGCGGCGTCTGGGGAAGGGTATTAGCAGCAAGCCTTACCCTTGCGATGTGCAAATGCAAGGAGGCTGTGGCTCGAACCCAGGACCTTCCGGTCACAGTCGGTAGTACTCTACCGCTTGCACCAGGCCCGCCCTTCTCTTTACCCACTAGTAATATTGTTGCTGATTTGCCTAGGGTATATCGTTGAAATTTAGGGAAATGGAATTGATGGTCCGCAGGTTTTGAATCATTTCAGAAACTTTATGTTTCCAGATTTTGCTGGCCTTCCCTCATTTGGAAACAATGATCTTCGGCTCCATGCTAACTGGATCTGCTGCTACTTATTTTTTTGCCTCCACTGTTATGGTATTTGATTACCTAAATTGACCTGTCCATTGTATGACAAATCCATGCAGGCTATTGAAGTATCAAGTAATGAATACGAACCGTCAGAGAAAGATGTGATATACGCTGAAGGAGTAACACAAGGGAATGGATTGGCCTTCATTGATTTCACTTTGGATGACCGGAGCCCTATGTCAGAACCCTTCGGTGACAATCATGATGCATACTCTCAACCAGTAAACAAGTAAAGTCTATCTTCATGCTCATGTCTAAAGCACATTGATACTGGGCTTCTTTCTTGTATCTTGTAGTCGTTTTGATGTGTTGGTATTGTGGAATCATATCTCTTGCTACTTTCTTAATTCAATAGCATAGTATGCAGGTTGCATTTTCTTTCCACTCTTCATCTGTCAAATTCTTTCTCATTGGTTGTCTCATCTGCTTCTATCTTCTCTCAGATACCAGCTGATTAGAGTAGGCATGAATGAGGGCTGCAAGTGGGTGGAAATGTTTGAGGATGTTAGCATGGTGATCTTCTCAGTAGCGCTCAGCGATTATGACGAGCTTGGAGCACCAGCGAGCGGCAGTAGTAGGACACTCATGAATAAGATGATTGAAAGCAGGGACTTGTTTGAGGCTACGATCAGGTACAAGAACTTGTTCTTAGAATTAGTTGAGCTCGATTCCAGTATATATCAACTTAAGTTACTGAACCATATATATATACATTTACTTCCTACTATATACAGACAGCCGTGTTTCCGCGACACGCCGTTCGTGCTGGTGCTGAACAAGTACGACCTATTCGAGGAGAAGATCGGTCGGTCGCCGCTGTCGTCGTGCGAGTGGTTCAGCGACTTCTGCCCGCTTCGGACGCACCACAACAACCAGTCGCTGGCGCAGCAGGCGTTCTACTACGTGGCCATGAGGTTCAAGGACCTGTACGCGGCAAGCACGGGGCGGAAGCTGTTCGTGTGGCAGGCGCGCGCCCGCGACCGCCCCACCGTCGACGAGGCCTTCCGCTACATCCGGGAGGTGATCCGGTGGGAGGACGAGCGCGACGCCGCCGGCTACTGCCCCGAGGAGTCCTTCTACAGCACCACCGAGCTCAGCTCGTCCCGCCTCATCGCCGCCGCAGAGTGATCTGACATGTGTATAGCTGTTGGTGTTGGTTCATTTGCTGGAATGCTGGCACAATTATTTGTAGTAACTGTACAGGCTTGTTATTTGTTCGTCGTAGAGCATTATTGCAGTGTTGTTTTGTATAATTGTATGCCTGCTAGTAACTTTTCCAAACAAAATCAAATATAGTGAAGGAAAGATCTTGTGCTGATTAGCAGAGCTTAAGAAATTCAGATTGTCAGATTGTCTTGTGTCAGCGTTACTGATGCTTCATTGCTTCCTGATTTGCTGATCCTGTTCTGACCTGAGAAGCTGACAGGTGGGTCCCACTTGCTGATGGTTTACTGGTCCTGCGCTGAACAGAGTGGCTGCCATGTGGGCCCACTGGAGTTACCTGGAGCCAAGAAAAGGAGGAAAAAAAAAAGAGAGAAAAATCTAACCAACCTTATCTTTCTCGTCCTCCCTTCCCGCGCCCGTGGCTAAGGTTTACCCGTGGCAATGGCTGCCGCTCCTCCTCACGGCCACACTCCAGTGGGGGCCGCAGCGGCCACGTCCGCCGCCGTATCCATTGCCTGCTCGTCCTCCGCCGCTTCCTGTAACGAAGATGACGATGACTATGGCGGCGCGTCGTCCTCCTGGTCGCTGTCCTCGCCGCGCCGCGGGCAGCCGTACCGGCGCCTCCTCCGCGACGAGGCCCAGCGGCTCCGGCGCGCGCGCCGGGGCCAGGGCCCGGGCGCCGACACGCCGCGGTGGGTGCGCCGCACCACGGACCAGATGGCCCGGTACGTCGAGGACGACCGCGCGGGGCACGTGTACGGCCGCCACGTTGTCGCCGCCGTCCGCACGGTGCGCGCCACGGCGTCGCGCCCGTCCGCCGACATGCGCCAGGCCATGGCGTCGTTCGTGACCAGGCTCACCTTCCGCGAGATGTGCGTCGTACTCCGCGAGCAGCGCGGCTGGCGCCAGGCGCGCGACTTCTTCGCTTGGATGAAGCTTCAGGTGCGTGGCCACACACGCCGCCCAACTTACATTCTTACAAAGCTTGCTGCTTTCTTAGCCTTTGTTATACATAGAAATGTAAAAATTGTTGCATATTTTTGTCTGAATTATTGGGCGATTTGGCCCAATCGTGAACTGATTGGCGTCCCTGTCCGCCTGATTCTGCTGATCCCTGCAGCTGTGCTATGAACCAAGCGTTGTAGCCTACACCATTCTGCTGCGGTTGTATGGCCGGGTTGGGAAGATCAAGCTTGCTGAAGAGACGTTTCTTGAGATGCTGCAGGTTGGCTGCGAGCCTGATGCAGTGGCATGCGGGACCCTCTTGTGTGCATATGCTAGGTGGGGGCGACACAAGGACATGATGCTGTTCTACTCGGCGGTGCGCAGGCGCGAATTAGTTCCCCCAGTCTCGGTCTACAACTACATGATCTCGTCTTTGCAGAAGCAGAAGCTGCATGGCAAGGTCATCCATGTGTGGAAGCAGATGCTGGAAGCTGGCGCGCAGCCTAATCAGTTCACATATACAGTTGTCATCAGCTCCTTTGTCAAGGAAGATCTCTTGGAGGAGGCCATGGATGTGTTTGGTGAGATGAGGCGGTGTAGGTTTGTTCCGGAAGAGGCGACTTATAGCCTTTTGATCAGCGTGAGCTCCAGACATGGCAAAGGAGAACAGGCATTGCGGCTTTTTGAAGAGATGAAGGCTCAGGGAATTGCCCCCAGTAACTACACCTGTGCATCTCTCTTGGCCCTGTATTATAAGAATGAAGACTACTCAAAGGCTCTTTTGCTCTTTTCTGAGATGGAAAATAGTAAGATCATTCCTGATGAGGTTATCTATGGAATTCTTATTAGGATATATGGTAAGCTTGGGCTTTATGAGGAGGCAGAGCAAACGTTTGAGGAAATTGAGAAGGCGGGTCTTCTGAGCGACGAGCAGACTTATGTGGCAATGGCTCAAGTTCACTTGAATATTGGAGATCATGATAGAGCATTGGAGGTGTTAGAATCTATGACTACTAGAAATGTGAAGCCTTCACACTTTTCTTATAGCGCTCTTCTCAGATGTTATGTTGCAAAGGAAGACATAGCTGCTGCAGAAGCTACCTTCAGAGCTCTCTCCCAACATGGCCTGCCTGATGCGTTTTGCTGTAATGACCTGCTCAGATTGTATATGAGGCTGGGACATCTAGAGAAGGCCAGGGCACTAGTTTTAAAGATGAGGCAAGACGATTTCCAGCTTGATGAGGACCTCTCTATGACAGTGATGGAATTTTATTGCAAAAGCAGTATGATTAAGGATGCAGACAAATTATTCAAAGATATTCAGAGAAACAGAAAAACCGTGAAGATTCCAACAATGCTTTTGCTTATAGAGATGTATGCTAGAAACAGATCCTGTGTGATTCTGAAAGAGCACAGCTCGTCAAAGGCACTCGATGAAACTGACAGTTCAGCAGCTAGCGTGGTGTTGAAATCCTTGTTGGACATGCCTGGGGGCCTGTCCAGTGTGTCCCTACTGATCAGCAAATTGGCTAGGGAAGGTGAGCAAGCTAGGAGCAACTGAGAACAGGGCACTCACACCTAATAATAGCAATCTCTGACAGCTGTCTATACATGTATTTGCTGCAGGGAGCACAGATGAGGCAAAATTCATTTATGATCAGCTGACTGAATTGGGAATCAAGCCTGATGATTCAGCAATCGCTACTTTGATTGTCCAGTATGGCCAGGCCAAGCAGTTAGAGCAAGCACAAGAACTATTCAAGTCAGCATCAGCATTCTTTCCAGAAGGAGCAAATGTTTACAATGCCATGGTTGATGCATTCTGTAAATGTGGCAAAACTGAAGACGCATATCATCTTTTCATGGAAATGGCTAAAGGCGGTAATAGAGATGTTGTGACAGTTAGCATTCTTGTCACTCACCTAACTAAACATGGTAAAGTTTTTTTTTTAATATATATTTGTACTTGTTGTATCGCTTTATTCAGCTGCTTCCTGCTATGTATCCAATTCTTTTTAAATGGCCATGGTTACTGCCACCGCCAGGGAAATTTCAAGAGGTTGAAAACATCATACATGGCTGTTTCCAAGATGAAGTTCAGCTCGACACTGTCTTGCACAATACTTTTATCAAGTCAATGCTTGAGTCAGGTCTGGCTAACATATTCTCCTATTCATCAGATAGGCAAGCAAAATTTCTGGTTGCAGGGCATCATAGCTAACTTCTGCATTTTTAGTTTCCAAGCAGGTAAACTGCATTCAGCCATCAGCATCTATGATCGTATGATATCCTCTGGCATTTCTCAGTCTATGCAGACATTTAATTTAATGATAAGGTAGATAAGTTTACAGAAACCCCTGGAAAATGGGAGCCCAAATTCGGAATTGCATTCTTTTTCTTGAATATGTTGTTTGTAGTACCACGTCATCACTCATCAGCTTCAATCTTCTATTCAGTGTTTATGGCAAAGGAGGAAAGCTGGACAAGGCTGTTGAAATGTTTGCTGCTGCACAGGAGCTAGGCTTGCCGATTGATGAAAAGATGTACACAAACATGCTTAGCTTATATGGAAAAGCCGGTCAGGTTCTTGTGCCCTGTAAACAAATCAACTAAAGATCTTCTGATTGATTATTTTTGCCCACTGCTTCAGTTTTCCTTCTATCCAGTTCTAAGACTATGGATTTTTCATATTTTCAGGTAGGCATCAGGAGGCGTCTTTAATGTTCAAAAGAATGAAGGAAGATGGCATCAGGCCTGGAAAGGTTCTCTTTCATTGAATGTAACTTTTGAAATTGCTTTCAGAAAACAAGGAGTGCTGTAGTTCCCCCTTGATCATCTAAAGCAAACATGGCTAATCTGGACCAAACTTGCAATGTGCAGATCAGCTTCAATTCCATGATCAATGCCTATGCCACTTCAGGACTGTATAACGAGGCGAAAAGCATATTCCAGGAGATGCAGGACTGTGGTCACGCTCCCGACTCGTTCTCCTACCTCGCGCTGATTAGAGCATACACGGAGGCTAAACTGTACACTGAGGCAGAAGAAGCCATCCAGATGATGCTGAACAGCAACACAACCCCTTCCTGCCCTCATTTCAGCCACCTGATTTTCGCCTTTCTGAAGGAAGGCCAGATTGGTGAAGCCCAGAGGATCTACAACCAAATGAAGGAGGCAAGTGTGGCTCCTGATCTGGCCTGCTGTAGGACCATGATGAGGGTGTACATGGAGCACGGTCTCATGGACGAAGGCATCTCTCTCTATGAGACGACGCGCGGCTCGCTGAAACCTGACAGCTTCATCTTGAGCGCTGCGTTTCATCTGTATGAGCATGCAGGCAGGGAGTCTGAAGCCCAGGATGTCCTGGATGCCATCAGTGTGAGTGGTACCTCCTTCCTGAGGAATATGAAGATTGGATCGAAGCTTTGATGAACCTGAAGGACTACCCGTGATGTGTACATAATCTAAAAGAAGTTAAGTTAGGGCACTTAAACATGCAATTTTTTTTTTTCCTTTCATTCCCTTCGGGGGGAGAGCACAAGTGCAACTGCTTCAGAATTCAGGAACACATATACCACAATGGTACAGAGCCAAGATTGAATGGTGTGACCCATGACTATTTTAGAAATTACTACCCCTTGTTTATGATTTCAGTGCATGCTAATTAGTTCAAATAAAGCAATTAGTTTGTCCTAAATATCTCCCTCGTAACTCAGCCATGTTCTTGGCCAAGAACGTAACCTGCAACCATGCTAGCTGTGTTCTTGGCAAACAACGTAACCCCAACTTCTGCCCATCTACCTACGTGGCATTCTTTAGCTGCTAGTCATGGACGTTGTCGAACAGCTCGTCTGTCGCCAGCACTACAACGTCGCCGTCCCTTAGTAGACATCTGAAAACGGCCACCCACTTGTACCACACCATTGCCAAATGACGAGATGATGAGCACAATAGCTCATTGAGATTGTGGCGTACCATGAGCGATTGGGGCGTACAGTAGACAGTGAGTGACGCTGTAAATTTCACGGCTTGTGCAATACAATGTTTTTACTTTCAAAACAGAGTTCAAACCTTGGGAACTTCAAGCTTAAAGTTGGTAAAAACTTCAGCATGAGTGCCAAACAAACAAGTGCCAATAAGTCACCCAGCTGCAATAACAGTGCTTCCAGTACTTAGTTCATAAAAACGCACAAGCATAAAGCTGGCTCATAACATGAAAAATGTAATGAATGCTAACACAAAACATAAAGTCTTCATACTCCAATTGCATAACTAGACATACCCAGGTTCCAACGGCGAAATCTTACAATTTTTAGATCTCTAAGAAAACCAGTGGTAAATTCTTACAGCAGAAAATCATTGACCGTCACTAAGAGAACTACTGGGAACAACCCATGTAGGTTGCACCATGCCCATGTGGTTGTCATGTAAGCGAGTTACATAAATAAAAGCTCGAAGCCTAGTGGCATCATCTCCAAGCAGTGGCTTGCCCAACTCAAATGCAACCAAATGGCCAGAACGAGAATCATAGCAGTATACACAGTTGCTTCTCCCTCCCCACCTCTCTGGGTTCATGCACGATAGAGCCTCAACTCTAAGGTAATTGCTGATGAATATCGCCCATTTCTCCAACCTCTCCACCTTTACCCACTTTGCAGGTTCAGTCGAAGTGTCCAGATGATAAGCTTCAAATGAAGGCCCAGTTCCTGAGGAATCGCTTTGGCAGCCAACCACAAGAAGCATGTCGCCGCACACCACCAGCCAAGCGAATCTAGGATGCCATTCGGTCATGCTATTTCTTCCACCCCAGGAAACTGGTATCTCCTGTAAGTGGATCTAGGGAGTCAAGTGAACCATGAACAGCCTACGATCAGAACCCATGCCAAAGACCTGGTCTTTGAAGACTACAAATTTGGTGAGTGGCCCATTGCGAGGAGAGCATTTTGACCAAGAGTTACTACCAATAGGCCAAAAGAAGTTGGAGGACTTAGTATAGACAATAAGATGTGGGTTGGGAGATGCTAGAGGACCTGTGAGGGCAGCACCATAGCAGAACTTAGTGTTTCCAACAACTGGCAGTGGCAGTCCTGGCAGTGGTGGGGGTGCTATGAGGTCAATACCATAGCAGAACCTAGTGTTTTCATCAACTGGCAGTGGTGGAGATGAAACATCAATACCAGTGAACACATCAAAAAGAAAACATGTTTTGTTGCTGCAGAAGATCATATGGCCAAATGAAGCACCCTTAAAACCAAAATCAAAATCAAACTCATCCAAAGCACTTGGTAGGCGGTTATTTCTATAGTCGATAGAAAGCAGAGGAATATGAGAGCAAAGTAACGTATCTTGGCTGGCTAGATCAATGACGTAACATGGGCATTTGGGTACAGAGGTGTTTCTGGTAACATTTGGAAAAGGGCGAGGGGAGCAGAAAGAGACATTAGGGTCGAGGAGAAGAGGTGGAAAGAGCGCGTATAAGGTAGATTTAGATGGGTAAGATGAGAAGGCAGAGCGCCAGGCGGGGCAGGTGGCTGCAAAGGCAAGACAGTTAGGGAAGGACCCCAACAATTCAACAATGGAGTGCAACAGACCATATGGGGGGCCTGCCCAATCTCGAAGCTTGGACATAACTTGTAGGTGAAAGCGGCTTCTCTGTGACAAATTGTAAACCCAAAGTAAATGTTAGCAGATTGAACTGGAGAGAATAAAGGGAACAAAACTGGTAAAAATTTATAGAAAACATGGCTAGCACATATGTTTTCTCAAAATGTCAAATTGTAAGCACAAGAATGTGGAAAAATATTGGGTGCAAACCACCCTCTTGGTGCAATCGTGAAAACCCTTCAAAAAACCGTACTTAGATGTTTTTAAAATTATGAAACGATGCACATCCATAGTTCATCCATAGATGAAAGGTGTAGCAAAAGTTGGGAGGCAAACTTATTGTGTAAAAATCCATACAAAATTGACAAATTTCAGGTGCAAGTGCACTAGAAGACAAAATTCCTAGGAATTTGTCTTCTAGTGCAAATAGACATGAAATTTGTCATTTCCATATGAGTTTTTCTAGATTGATTTTGTTTCCCAACTTTTACTACAACGTACATCTGTGGTTTGTGAACTTTTTTCCAATGTTATGGGTTTTCGCTTGATATTTCTCGCGCATAGAACTCCCCCCCCCCTTAAAGCATACAGATTGCATTGCATAGCACAGTAAACAAAAGCACAAATGCAATCACACCAAAGCGATTGCATCTCCACATCTGTGGTTTGTGAACCAGGGCAAATAGCAGGCTTAAATGAAGCTTAGACGTGGCCCAATACCAAACTTGTCTTATTGATATTTTGGAATTTCTAAACAACAACTGACTATTTTGATATTTATTTACATGATTTATGTCGGTTATCCAATGTTTTTATACTTTCAAAACATAAGTTCAAACCTTGGGAACTTGAAGCTTAAGGGGGCGTTTGGTAGCGCTCCCAAAACGGCTTCAGGAGCGGCTTCGCCTCATTGCCAACCAAACGGGGGCGGAAGTCCCGAGAAACGTGCTCTCACAGAAGGTGAGCACACGATGAAGCTAAAAAAAGCAGCTTCGACCAGCTCCCTGGGCGAGGCGCGGGGGCGTAGACATGGATGCCCCTCACCAACGCCTCCAGTGAGCTCCTGCAAACGGTGAAGGACGAAGCTGTTGCGGGGCGGCGCGTGCGGTTGGCTGAGGCAGGGACGGGCCTCCTCCGTGGCTCCGTTCGCAGGTGAGGGAGGCGGGAGAAGAAAGAGATGACGGAGTCGATCGAAGAAGCGGAGACGAAGCCTCGAAAAAGCTGAGGAGGATTCGTGCGGCGTGCGGTGGATGGATGGAGGCGATAAGGTGCGTGCGGTTGTTGGGGGTGGAGAGAGAATAGGGGGAAAATAAAATAAGTAAAGGGAAATTAAGAAAAGAAACAAAATAGTAAAAGAGTATTATAGACCTTTTACAATCTTCAACAATCAAGAAAAGTTGCTCTACCAAAAGTTTTTCTCAAACAGCTTCCACTTTATCAATATAAAGCTGCTTCATCAGCTGAAGTTAAAAAAAACTGCTTCCAAACGGCCGGCCCCTAAAGCTGGCTTAGCTTTCACATGAGTGCCCAATACAATGTTTTTACTTTCAAAACAGAGTTCAAACCTTGGGAACTTCAAGCTTAAAGCTGGCTTAACTTCAGCATGAGTGCCAAACAAACAAGTGCTAAAAAGTCACCCAGCTGCAGCACTGAAACAATAGTGCTTCCAGTACCAGTACTCATCAGTTCATAAAAACGCACGACCACAACAATCCTGGCTCAGAACATGAAAAATGCGATGAATGCTATACAGAGCACAAACATCGTCATGCTCCAGTTACATAATTAGACTAAGAAAAAAACCAGTGGTAAATTATTACATTGGAAATCATTGGCCATCACAGCACAAAGAGAACATACTGGGGACAATCCATATAGGTTGCACCATGCTGCTGTAACATGAGAAACCGAAGACATCAGATTTGGGGGCATCATCTCCATGCAGTGGCTTGCCCAACTCAAATGCAACCAAATGGCCAGAACCAGAATCATAGTAGTATACACGGTTGCTCCTCCCTGCCCACCTCTCTGGGTTCATCCACGGTAGTGGCTGAGCTCTCTGAGTCATTGCTGATGAATATCGCCCATTTCTCCAACCTCTCCACCTTCACCCACTTTGCAAGTTCAGTCGAAGTGTCAAGACGGTAAGCTTCAAATACAGACCCTATCACATGGAAATCCTTTCGGCAGCCAACCATGAGAAGCATGTCGCCGCACACCACCAGCCTAGGGTTGCAAAGATGCCATTTGATCATGCCATTTTTTCCACCCCAGGAAACTGGTATCTCCTGTAAGCGGATCTGGGGAGTCAAGTGAACCATGAACAAACTACGATCAGAACGCACCATGCCAATGACTTGGCCTTTGAAGACTACAAATTTGGTGAGTGACCCATTGCGAGGAGAGCATTTTGACCAAGAGTCACTACCATCACGCCAAAAGAAGTTGGAGTACTCAGTGTAGACAATGAGATGTGAGTTGGGGGATGCTAGAGGACCTATGAGGGCAGCACCATACCAGAACTTAGTGTTTCCAACAGCTGGAAGTGGTGGAGGTAACACCTCAATACCAGTGAACACATCAGAAATAAAACATGTTTTGTGTCACACCCAGCGACCACCAGTGAAGGGTGTGCCATGAAGAGGAAGCCGTATACCTCATTAGCTTTACGTATTTCATTGTATTACGTTTTCATTATTGAACTGTATTGTGGGGCCGAATGTCTAGTGACTATAATGGCACATAAGTGCCCGAATCCTGTGCCATGTCCAGCAACAACTCTTCCAATTGGTAATCCAATTTGCCAAGGCAGTGGGGTTTGCCCTGCCGGCGTCCTCGTTCCGTACTTGCTCGAGTGCTCACATCGATGGTGATCCACCGGCGGCCACGGGTGTGACAGCTGGCATCGGAGCCGACCTATCCTCGGCGTGGGGGCGCTCGCCGCTCTTTATCTTCGCTTCTACCTCGACTCCGAGCTCGCCCGACAGCAGATCCAGCGCGCCGGCAACACCACCACCACCGCAACAACAACCACCACCACCACCAGCGCTCTGCCTACCTCGGTAACATTTTGACTTCATTTGCTTAGATCGCGGTTTGTAAATCCGATCGGCAGGTACCTCTGTCCATGCCCTAGAGGTGTTCAACGTGAGGTCCTAGAAGTCCCTCCTTTGGTTGAACTGGGTCAGCGGCGGTGTTGGGGTAACCTAGCTTGAGCACCACCACACCCACTTCCACAACACCCTAAATCCCCATCCACACTGATAGTCTGCTACATCTATGGATCGCCAAACAACTGGGGGACCACACCAACAATTCTGAGTTCGGCGGCGAAAACTATCGTGAGCATATTCAATTCTTCTCCTTTACATTCATTTAGCACATTTGGATGAACGGCGAGGGTTGCAGGACATTTGTTCTTGCGTAAAATTCCATAGTTGGTTCATTCAAATTGGTGCGGAGAAGTTGGCGGGGGAGTGTCCTTGAGTTTGGGTTGCGGGGCAAGTGTTCCCGTGTCAAATTCCTTGGCTTAGCCTCACTCCTAGGCGGCGGTGAACATGACAAACAACACCAAGGGGAGGAGCAATCCGAACCTGTTGTTTGATCACCTGTTGGCTCAGTTCTATTCCGATCAGTCACCACGGCTCCAATCAAGCCATCAAAGCAGACACAGCTTCTCTTGGACAATATGTCTAAAAACACTGAAGAGGAGAACACACGGTGGGATCAGGTTATGGAACACTTTGATCTCCTATTCACAAGGGTCAATGACATTGGTGAAGTCCAGCAGCAGATGAAAACTCAAATAGATATCAGGGGACAAGCAATGGATAATTACACGGCTGAGCAGCACTTAATAGCCCAACAAGTCAGGGCCAATGGTGCAGCGGTTGCCCAGCTCATGCTGTGGCACTTTGAACATGAAGGACCATTTGAGGATGATTCTTCAGTGTCTATCATCTTCGATGAAGAATAGTTTGAGAATGTCTTTGCTAAGGACAAGGGTCCTCACAAAGCCTGAAACGTCCAAGACCAAGAAGCCACCCCAAGCACGACAAGAAGACAACCCTATCGACACAAGCGATGCCAAAAATGTAGTTCCTAAAGTTTGATGGTCACAATCCTAAAATCTAGAAAGACAACTGAAAGAGCTATTTTGAGTTATACCAGCTGCCCGAAGGCATGTGGATCACAATGGCACACCTCCACTTTGAAGGTAATGCTACCAAATGGTATCAAGCTTATAAGCAAAATCACACCTTCAGGGATTGGGATCATTTCTGCTCGGCAATGGAAGAGGAATTTGGCTCAGATGATTTTTGAACTACTATGAATGCTTTGTTGGACCTCAAACAAACTAGCAACATGGAAGATTACACCACCCAATTCCAGTCTCTTCAATATGATGTCACAATGCACAATTCTAGTTATGATGAAATGTTTTTCACACCACAGTACATAAGAGGACTTAAGGAGGAGATTAGGGCGGCAGTAGAACCTCAGATGGCAACAACAGTATAGAAGGCTTCTACCATTGCCAGAATTCAGCAGGGCATGCTGGAACGCAGTAAATCTCGCTATCACAAACCAGCTAATCAGGTCAGACCTTATGCTCCTCCAAAGGCTGACTACAAACCTCCTCAACAGGCCACTTCACTGTGGAAAGATCACCAATTAAGAGATTATCGCAAAGCCAATGGTCTGTGTTTTTCCTGTGGTGAGAAATTTATGCCTGGACACCTCGAGGTCTGTTCCAAAAGGCAAAAACCACAGGTTAATGCTATGTTGCTTAATGACCTAGATAGGGAATTGTCAGATGATGTCCTTAATGAACTGGTAGTGGAAGATCAGCTGCATGAGGAGTTTTGCCAGCTATCTCTCAATGCACTGTCTAGTCAGGACAACACCAGCTGCATCAAACTGAAAGCTAGGGTCCAAGATAAAGTTTTACTCATACTGGTTGATAGTGGAAGTACACACAGTTTCATCAGCTCCAAGTTTGTTGAAATGGCTCAGTTACAAACCGTGCCACTGTTCCTAGAACAGTGAAGCTCGCTAATGGGGAATGGCTAGTGACAGATAGACTGGTACCTCAACTCCACTGCTATTGTCAAGGCCAAAGCTTTGCTACAGACATGGTGGTTCTATAAATGCAACCCAATGATGCCATATTAGGGTGTGATTGGCTCCAAGCCCACAACCCTATGGAATGTGACTGGAGGAACCGCACTCTCAAGTTCTCATAAAAAGGCAAGACAATGACACTTCAAGGATTACAAGATCCACCCCTTCAAATATCCTCTATTTCAGCAACAAAAGTATACAATTCCACCAAAGGTAATGACATATGGGCCTTTGTCCTTGTAGACCACATATCAGATCCCTCCCCAATCAAACAACATGATACCTCCCAAACCCCAGAAGCCATCCAACATATTCTCACAGCATACAAAGATGTTTTCAATGACCCCCAAACACTACCACCCCAAAGAGCCTATGACCATGCTATTCCACTTATTCCTGGCTCTATTCCCATTAACTCCAAACCCTACCACTACTCTCCTTTGCACAAAACTAAAATAGAGAATCAGGTACAGTAGCTCTTGCAAGTAGGCCTCATTGCTTACATCCATAGCCCCTTTGCCTCTCTAGTGCTCTTGGTGAAGAAGAAGGATGGGTCTTGGCGATTCTGTGTAGATTACAGAAAGTTAAATGACATCACAATCAAGAATAGATTCCCAATGCCTGTGATTGAAGAAATATTGGATGAACTTTTAGGAGCTAAGGTGTTTACAAAGTTAGACATGAGGTCTGGGTACCACCAAGTCAGAATGCTGCCTGAGGATGAACACAAAACTGCATTCAAGACACATCAAGGTCATTATCAATTCAAAGTAATGCCTTTTGGCTTGACTAATGTACCTGCTACCTTCCAGTGTGTCATGAATCAAATTCTTCACCCATTTTTAGGCAATTTGTATCGGTGTTCTTAGATGACATACTAATATATAACACTTCATTGGAGGACCATGCTCAGCACTTAGATCAAGTATTGGATACTCTCAGGAAACATCAGTTATATCTGAAGGAATCCAAGTGCACATTTGCTAAGGACAGCTTGGAATACTTGGGCCACATTATTTCTTCTAAGTGAGTAGCCACTGATCCAAGCAAGATACATGATATGCTACAATGGCATGTGCCTACTTCCATGACTGAATTTAGGGCTTTCCTTTGATTAACAGGCTATTATAGGAAATTTGTCAAAAATTATGGGCTCATGACAAAACCCTTGACAGCCATCCTTAGGCTCAAACAATTTGCCTGGAACCCTACAACACAATCAACTTTTGATGATCTTAAAGTGGCCATGACAAGAACTCTAGTATTGGCCTTACCTAATTTCAAAGAACCCTTTAGTGTGGAAACAAATGCATGCCAAGATGGCATTGGAGCTGTCCTCATGCAGAAGGGACAACCAATAGCATATCTCAGCAAGGCTTTGGGAGAAAAGCATAGATCATTATCTATCTAGGAAAAGGAGTTCCTAGCCCTGATCATGGCGGTGGAAAGATGGAGGCACTATCTGCAGAGAGGAGAATTCTTCATTCAAACTGACCATAAGTCACTAGCTTACCTCAAGGAGCAAAACCTTCATTTAGACATGCAGAGAAAAGCAATGACAAGACTAATGGGCTTACAGTTCAAAATTATCTACTAAAAGGGCAAAGACAACATAGCAGCAGATGCTCTCTCTCTTGGGTTGGACACATGATGGCACTTCAGGCAGTATCAGTAGTTCAACCGACATGGGTCTAGGAGGTTCTTAACTCTTACACATCTGACTCACAAGCATAGTAGCTATTGCAAAGGTTAGCTATTACCAGTCCAGACACTCAGGGCTACAGTTTGGATAAGGGCATCATATGGTACCAAGGCAAAGTATGGATTGGGAGCAATTTAGCTCTCCAGAGTCCAGACAAAACTCATCTCTACCTGTCATTCCTAGTGCCCTTGGGGGTCACTCAGGCATTGTTGCGACTTACTATAGGTTCAAGAAGCATTTTGCCTGGAAAGTGATGAAACAAGATGTGGATAATTTTGTAAAACAGTGCAACATCTGTCAGCATGCAAAGCATTCTCTTCAACATCCTATGGGTCTTCTATAGCCTCTACCCATACCAGAAGGCGTTTGGCAAAATTTGACAATGGACTTTATAGAGGGTCTTCCAAAGTCTGAAGGGTGCACTGTCATATTGATCATTGTGGTCAGGCTGACAAAATATGCCCATTTCTTACCAGTCAAACATCCTTATACTGCTGCTACCATTGCCCAATTATTCATGGATCATGTGGTGAAATTGCATGGATTGCCAGCTTCAATTGTTCGTTCAAGATTTCAATACTTGTAAGAACCAACCAAGGCAGACGTTCTTGCAAGGGGGAATCCACACAACACAATGGAGGCAGAGGCGAGGGGGGAGAGGGTACAGTTTGGATGAGCAATGAGCGTACATGCCTGACCGGCAGACCGTGAGCGGTAGATGGCGATGGCGGTGCGGCGGCGAGAACCTCCTACGGCAGTCCGGCGCCGCCTTCAAGCTAGATGACCGATTCCACACTCTGGACCTAGAAGCTTCCGTGCGTTTGGGCTACCTATATAGATGGGCTTGGGCTTGGCTAGGCGCCTCTGGGGCCGTATGATTTGAGTATGAAACGACTTCATAATTTGAGAGCTGCTAGTGTTTCTTCTAGAGATTGGATTTCTGCTTCATATTAAATTTTTACAAGAAGCACAAAACTCCTTTTTTTCCTCAAGGCAAAACGGATTGCATTGCACAGTACAAGAAGCACAAGACAAGTCACAGGATGCCTGCATAGAAGCGATTGCATCTCCACATTTTGCAGGGACAGAGGAAACTACTCATTCAAATAACATTAATGGGTTTCAGCCTTCCAGGCTATCCAGCAGACCAGCACACACCTAACAAGTTCAGAATTACAGTGCAAAAGATCAAAGCTACTCCCTCCATACTAAATTATAAGTCATTCCAAGAATTTTGGAGGATAAAAGCATATCAAGTTTGACCAAATTTATATGATAAAATAATAACATTTATGATGTGAACTAAGTATCATTAGATTTCTTATTAATTATATTTTCATAGTATACTTATTTAATGTCATAAATCTTCGTAAATTTCTCTATAATTTTGGTCAAACTTAAGACGCGTTGACTCTACAAGATTCTTGAAATGACTTATAATTTACAATGGAGGGAGTAAGAGCTAAACACAGGGTTCCAAAGATGCTATTTGATCATGCTATTTCTTCCACCCCAGGAAGATGGCGCCGTCAGCGGAGAGGGCCTCCTCGGGAAGTCCAGTGCCGCCACCTTCGAGCTCGATGACTTGTCTCTGCACCACTGTGTTTCCACTCTGGAAGCTCCTCGAGTGTTTTTTTTTTCAAATAATATTATTTTAATAAATAATTACAGATCTGGGTGTTACTTTTATAAAATTGCAAAACTAGTATTCGACTATCGGCAAATGAATAGCCGACAGTACATGTGGCAGGCAAAAATTACAGTGTAGTTTCCTATCGGCAATCAGATAGCCGACTAAAGGGCCATCGGCAGTGTAGAAGCCGTCGAGCGCAATCGGCAGCTGGCCAGCCGATGGGCCTATCGGCCATTGGGAGATCGACTGCATCCACATCCAGCCACACTTTTTTTTTATGTTTTTGCTTTGTTGATCACGTTTCTTTACTATTTAAGATTTTTATATTATTTCAACCTACCCAAACAAAATATCTAAAGACCTCAAAAGATATTGTAAATTTCTAAGTAGATGCTAAAAATCAAACATAAGCTATTTTGTTTGCATCTAGCATCAATTTTTTCGAAGGGAGAAGAAATTATATTAAAACTCAACATAGTACATCTCAAAAAACTCTGAAATAAAAAGGTATAATATTCTATTCAGATTCTTCATTCCGTCTCAAGTTTTTTTTGCTCAAATTTTTTCAGCTCGTCTGCTTAACTTTTTTTTGAAGGAAGGGAGACTTATATTAAATCTTGGCACGTTATATCTCAAATCACACATGAAAAATCTTAAATATAAAATACATAATATTCTATTCAGATTCTTCCATCGTCTTCTTTTCTAATGGCTTCCCTCAAACACCTGCAACGGCGATCTCGTCGTGGCAATGACCGAAGTCATCGCAGGATACGCGACCCTGACCAAAAATCATCTGATTTCACTCAAAATTTATTTGGACTCCTAAAACTCTAGAAAACTGTGGGAAAATGATGGGTCCCCTCCGCTTCTTGTCTCTGGCAGACGCACCGGAGAGGAAGAAAGAGAGGGGCCCTAGGCGCGACTGCGGTGGCGGCGGCGGAGCGAGGAGGTGGCAAGGGCTCTACCCTAGATCGTCTACTTAACTTTTTTCCATCCGGTTGCCTAATTTGTTTTTTTTATTTATGATGAGTACCTTTGATTTCTTATGTTTTTTCATATAAACTTAAAAGAATAATAATAAATAAATATAAAATTATAAACTTTGAACTTTTGATCCCCTGATAAGAAACAAGGATTCCAACCTAAAATATAAATAAAAAAAATAAAAAAGAGCAGCAAAAGGGAAGAATGGGTGCAAAACGGACGCAACACGTAAAAAATATAAAAATAAAACAAATAAACTAACTTTCCTAACTAACTAACTAGAGTCTACATCTTCTAACTACGTAGGTATCAAAATATGTAACCTAAAATATGTACTATTTTTTATCTAAATCAGTAAAAAGCTATCATATAAAAAAGGAAAAAGAAAACAAGAGAGGCCTCTCACATGCCGATATGTGTATAGGCGCCAATAGCGCTCACATGGAGGACATCTGTATCGTGTGGCGCCACATGTCGGTAACCCAAACGCCGATGGGCTTACTGTTGGCTTTTGGATAGCCGATTGGCTTCTTAAATCTATAATTTTACTATTATAGCTTCTAGATCTACAATTAAATATAATAATAATATTATTTTAGAAAAAAATCGAAGCTCCGCCTATCTCTCGTCAAGAGGGGAGGGGAAGCAAAACAAGTCGATGGATAACTGGATGGGCCTAGGCTTTAAATGAGCTGGGTTCAACATCATGAGCCATGTGAACTGATTAGGTTTGATTTCTCAACAAAAGAGAACATGAAATTCTCAAAAAATCAAAAAATAGGAAAAGAATATGAAGTGATTTTAAAAGCTACCATCTGACCGTCTCTGGTCCAAAAAGTACGTAATTTTAGTTTTGTTAAGTAAAATTGATTTAAATTTAACCAAGTTCATAGAAATTACATCAACGTTAACTAACAACACCAAATCAGTTTTCATTAAACCTACCATGAAATATGTTTCGATAGTGCACTTATTTCGTATTGTATAGATGTTAACATATTTTGGTTTAAGAGGTTTGATTTAGAAAAAAAAAACTAAAACGACCAATATTTTGAACAGAGGGAGTAATTCTTTTTCAATTCATTTTCTGACGTTTGTTTTGCTCGAGTAACCCAGACCCTAACTGTCAAAATCCAGGCCCCCAAAATCTATCATAGACAAAGCGGTTGAAGACAAAACTTGTACACATTTGGATTTCTGCTTCATATCCAGCGAGCATAAAACGATATTTTTTCCTTCAAACAAACAGCTAGTAGAGCACAACTGCACAAGTCAACCCCCAGATGCCTGCACACAAGCAATTGCATAAAACGATATTTTTCCCTTCAAACAAACAGATAGTAAAGCACAAGTCAACCCCCAGATGCCTGCATACAAGCAATTGCATAAAACGATATTTTTCCTTTCAAACAAACAGATTGTAGAGCACAAGTCAACCCCCAGATGCCTGCATACAAGCAATTGCATGGACGGAGGAAGCTCAGACACATTATACAAACGTTTTTCTACTACTCATTCGAATAACAGTATCCAGCCTTCCAGGCTTTCCAGAATAGCTAACAAGTTCATAACTAATGCAAAAGATTAAAAGTAGCAATGGAGCACAGCTGGAAACTAAAATGCAAGTCTGCGAACTCTCATCTACCACAATGTGCATTATCCATTGCAAATGCAAGCCTCTGATCTCCGAAGAAATTTAAGGTGAAATTTTCAGCACAGGAAGATGGAGCACATAGATCACTTGCCATCAGCGATAGAGCATGCTTGGGTACACCCAGAACGGCTGCAGTCGGGTGTTCCAGTTCCTCTTGAACACAAGGCTCTTGAACACAAGGTCATCAGGGCCATAATCTGGATCACACACAGCATCTGCATCATCACCAATTCCATGCATCACCAAGGGTGGATCGTAATACCCATAGTACAAGCAATTGCTCCTCCCGCTCCATCGTCCTAAGCTGGCGCAAGAAAACGTCGAGCTCCTCACATCACTCCCAATAAACAGCGAGTAATTCTCTAGCTTCTTCACCTCCACCCAAGCTGCAGGCACAGTTGACATGTCGAGGCGACAGGCTTTGTACTTGACATGTGCTCCACTGGACGAAAGGATTATGTAATTGTCGACCATCAGGAGCATGTCACCACACACCGCGATCCACGGCCTTAGACATGGGCATTCATCCTTGCCATCCCACCACACAGTTTCTATCTCCTGCAGACCAAGCTGGGGGGCCAAGGACAGATTGTGGAGCTTATAGTGGTTGTCTATTGCAATGAACTGACCATTAAACTCCACAATCTGTTCAATCTGTGAATTATTGAACTGTAGTTTTGACCAACAATCACTCCCAATCAAGCAAGAAGCACTGACCGTCCTGTTTGGACACTGCAAACTAGGAGGTGTGAGTTTGGTGATGCAAGGGGAGCTGGCAGAATGCCACAGTAGAAATAAGTGTTGTCGGTAAATGGGAGCTGTGGAGATAAAACTTTGGCACCAGTGAACACATCCATGATAAGACAATTTCTGCCACAGCCACAAATCAGCTGGCCATAGGAAGAGCCAGCAAAGCACAACTTCTCAAATGTCTCTTCAGGAACCTGGCAGCGAAGGGTACTTTTCATGTTGGCTGGATCAAGGACCTGGCACGTGCCGAGCTTGTGACCATCGTCACTTCTGGAAGGTAGATTAGGAGCACATACACTGATATGGGGCTGGACGAGGAGAGGCGGGAGCAGGGTGCAGAATGTGGACTTAGATGGGTATGAGGCGAAAGCGGCACGCCAAGAGCGGCAGGTGCTAGCAAAGCTGAGGAGCTCCATGAAGGAGCTCAACAGAGGAGAGATGGAATGGAGCAGACCTTCTGGGAGATCTGCCCACCCTTGAGGTCCATACACAGCAGGGGCTGTAGTGGAGGCAGAGGTGGCACCGATTTTGCTAGGGCTTTGCATGATGTCAGACTCTCTGCAACGTAGTAAAAAAAAAGGTGAACAAGTTAGAACTGAATCAAAAATGAAAAATAGACAGTAAACTTGCTAGAGACTTAGGTAACATGCAAACATTTTAAACTTTATGTGTTGTCCAGTACAGATCTGAAGCAAGTTGTTAAGTTGTTATACACTGTTACAGACAAGAAATTATATGCGCTGGGTGAACCCTAATGTTCAGGCTAAGACAGATCGAAAAAATACAGTTTTTAAGTCTTGCTTGAATTCAAACTTTTCTTCAAAACTACTTAAACCCATATCTATTTACAGAACATAATATTTAGGATGACCTACACATTAGTGAAGCATGAAACAAAGGTGAAACCTATGGCAAAATGACCAATTATGTGCTGCCGTTCACAGATCAACCATGGCATACAGAAAATACTTCAAGATCCAAAGCTGAACCCCCACCTAACATAAAATTGGTGTCTTTTTATCGTAGCCATGTGAGGCATGGGCATACATCTTCTTAAATCTACCTGATCAATGAGAAGTCCATCTACTCCAGGGTACAGCAGAAGCAGAATCCAGTGGAAACAAGATACTAATGAAATTTCTTTGCTTGGTTTGGATTAAGAAATCAGAGCACCAAAGAAAAGACACAAGTGTGCCAAATGAAAAATTAAAAAGAAACTAGGAACTAGGTGCCAGAGCAAGCCTTTCTACTACCTACTAGATATTATCCTACAGGCATCTGAAAATCACAAAATTTGACATAACACACACAGGATTTTTTTTGTTTTTTTGTTCTCCAGATTAAAGGCTCCCAGTTCTACTTCCTACTTGCCTAGTCTGCACAAATGCCACACGAGTGAAAGAAAAGATGCAACGTTTGTTCAAATGGCATAATAAATACGCGGTAACGCGCCAAATATATACAGTAAGTATTGTGCTTCCGAATTTAAGGAGAGCTGAGCCCTAACATCAGGATATAAAGTGGATTACATCAATGATGATCCAAAGTCAAGCCTCATGAGTCATGAGTCATGACGGCTGCTAAAACACCTGGCCGCTACAAGGAAAACTACCAGATTTATTGACAACAATGATAAGAATTAGAATCCGAAACAAAACTAGAACCCCCCGTGCACTGATACTGCTCTTTTTCAGATTAACTGTGACATACACAAAAAAAAAAGAGACATCAAAGCCGTGTCTTATATAGTTTTATTGTACCCACATTAGCCATGGGGCATAATCCCATTCAAAATCTACTCGATCAGGTACGGTCTATCGATCTAGGGTTCTTCCATGACCTGTACATCTTACCATCAAACCAAAATCCAATCGAAACCTAAACGTAACATCTCGATTCCAGATGAAACCACAACAACAAAGAACAAACGCGTGAGGCAATTTCTCGGATCGGTTCAAGAAACCCAAGGCCAAAGGAGCAGGCACACATATGAGCAAAATGAACAGAGAGAGAGAGAGAGAGAGAGAGACACGTGAAACAGGTGTTAAGGTTCAGGACTTCAGGATCCTTAACGGGTAAAATAAAGCAGAAGCGTCGATCGGCGACCAAAATAGGCGCGAGAGCATATTTTAAGAAAAACTATATGTAGTGCCGGCGCCTTCGCCTGCGATGACAGTGTCGCTTCCAGTTCCAGAAGCGCCGCTTCTCCTGCTTCTTGGCTCCCTCTGCCTCTGCTCTGTGGTGGTAGTACTGTAGTAGTATGCTCTCTGTTGCGGGCCAAATTTGGGCTTTGTGAACCGGGGCTGTAGCAGGCCCAAATGGAGCTTACAATTGGCCCAAAAGCTACTAGTCTTGTTAAAATTTCGAAATTTCTAAATAACATCCGGCTTATGATTTTGTGATTTCGGTTGATTTTTGTAGCAAATTGATCTGCTATAGAAACTATAACTCTTATAAAACTAAACCCCATTATTTTTTTTAGTTCAAGCTAAATCCCACTAGATATTTCTCTCTTCATGCAAGGTGTTCACATCATTTCTAACTAAGTGACCCCACTAAATGTTCTATCTCTTCATGCAAGGTATTCACCTCATTCTCCACTAGGTCCGCGTCATCCCTTAGTAATTATAAAAAATGTTCATGTCATCTCTATCATGTGAAATACTTTAAATCTTTAATTTATTAACATACAAATCATTTACATACGTTATTTGTTTCATCCCCCATTCTTTTACAATGTAATCAAATATTCTATTGGTTTTTCTTCAATTAACTTGCCAATTTTTTACCTGATCTGATACAATAAAATAATATGCAAGTCAAATTCATATATGTGTATACACATTATACATAATATCTATAATAATGCTATGTATATAACAGATTTATTTTTAAGAAAATCACATGGCAACGCACGGGGTATACTTCTAGTTGTTGCTATCCATCATCCGTCATACGGTTCAGCTCCCGTTCCTTTGCCCCATGGCCCCTCTTTATTCTCGAAACATGGGAAAAAACTTTTGCCCCCGTCCCCAGCATTTCACGTAGTCTGATTTTTCTCCCTCGTGCATAAAGGTGGATTTTTGTCCTCCTTTGTAACTTTTAAAACGTTTATAACTTTATCGAATGTGGCGCCTGTTCAAATCACATGCTAGGCCTAATTTTGCGGAAAAAAATTCGGTAGTGATGGTTCTTACCAAAACACAGTGCGACTGTGCAGCTGACATGTGGATCATGAGGCATCTGATTACTATGCATGTAGTTAAAATGATACAGTGGCCCACACAGTCCGCACAACGTCCTGGTAGGAATGGTCCTCACCCAATTTTTTTTTCTAATTTTACACACCAATGATAAACTTCCTCTACGTCAAACAACTAGAAAAATAATTCGGTGCTAGTGCTCGGACGTCCGGATGGACGCCCGTAGGTGTTGGCCTGCGGCGCTGATCATCCACCTACCTGCCCGCACTTGCTACTGCACGCCTACGCCGCTCCATGGGGACTGCCCCCCAGCCTCACTTCTTACACGCATGATGGGGACCGCCTCCATCTGCGTCCGCTTCTCGCGCCTGCTCATGAAACACTTGCAACATGAAGAACTTGCTGCAACATAGATACGTCCAAAACAGATGAACCATTTAGAACATATGCTTGCAACATATGTGTATAGCTGGCAGCTGCAACATATGCAACATCTAGATAAAAACACTTGCAACATACGTCTGAAACAGCTAAAATATTTGAAACATATACTTGAAACATACATGTATAGCCATTGAAACATATGCAACATCCCAAATCTACTTTTGTAACATCCAGATGAACACATATGCAACATACGTAAGAAACAACTGAAACACTTGCAACATGCATCGGAAACACTTGCAAAAACACTTGAAAACACTGGAAAACCATTGCAAACATACCCAACATCCAGATAAAACACTTGCAACATATGTTTGAAACATATGCCACATCTAGATAAACACACTTGCAATATAAGTCTGAAAAGCAGATGAAACATTGGGAACAGACACTTGCAACACACATGTGCAACATATGCAACATCCTAATCTACTTTTGCAACATCCATAATTTTGTATGAAATACTTTAAACATACATCTAAAACACTTGAAACATAGGCTTGTAACATGTCTGAAAATGCCTGGAACACTTAAACACAACGTCGCTGACGGCCATGGCTTTACCTGGTGAGGAGCTACGGTAGCCAGCAAGCTCGGGTCAGGAGGACATCGAGAACAATGGTCCATACGTACACCTCCTATGCAGGACTTCCCATCCTGTCGTGGTGTCAGTGTTTTGTTAATCGGCTAGTAAACTTGTACGTATGTCGTGCTGCTCTAGGAAGACAATATTAGCATCCAAAAGACACGAGGAGTTACACTGGTTCAGGCCAGAGCCCTACGTCTAGTCTCAGAGATAATCAAGTGCATGTTTCTCGTTTGAATGCTCTAAAGTTCTTATAATGGGGGTGCAAAAATGGTAAAGAGGTAGGAGATGGAGCTAGAGCCTATGGATGAACTGCCTAAAAGCATAAGGAGTCTGACTATGGATAATGTAGTGGGTGTCCTGGCTGCCCTTATATAGAGTTAGGGGCCAGGGCACTATATAGAGGGGTCCTAACTAACTTGGCTTGCAATTAACGCCATCTTGAGTCGTATGTTTGGGTGTGGCTATCGTCATGGTCTTGTGCCTATGTCGCATCATGGTGTGGCGTAGCCTATAGTGCCAATCACGGTGACACTATTGGCACAATGGTAGTTCGCCAGCCATCCTATGCAACATGGTCTTCATCATCGTCTTCTGGTCTTTTGGGGGCGTCGTACAGGAGTTGGCAACCGCCCCCACGTAGTCAATCGCCTTGTTGCTTGTGGAGACTATGGCCACGATCCCTTGCGTTGGGGTTGTGGCCTTTGCTAGCTTGATGAAAGGTCCTAATATGGCTAGAGGGAAGGTGAATAGCCCATTTAAAATTCTACAAAGCACTAAGACAAATTGATTAGTAAGACAAACGGTACAATGCAATTTTGCTCTAGCTCTACAAGGGTTGCAATCCACCAATCCCAATAATTTTAGTTGCTATGATCACTAGCACACACAATGGTTAAGTCACTACTCACTAAACTAGTGTGCTCTCATGGGCTAACTAAGAAGCCATACTAACCAAACTAACAAGCTCTCAAAGACTAGCTACACTAAAGAGCTTGACAACTAGTTTGCGGGAAAGTAAAGAAGAGATTTGGATGATTATACCACCGTGTTGAGGGATGAACCAATCACAAGATGAATACCAATCAATCACCGGAAGAAATCCAAGAGACAAGTTACACACCAATTTTCTCCCGAGGTTCACGTGCTTACTAGCACGCTAGTCCCCGTTGTGTCGACAAACACTTAGTGGTTCGGGGCTAATAGGTATCACACACCTAGCCCACCACAAGAGGTGCCGCAAGAACCTACCCATAAGGGAGGTAACTCAATGACATGAGCAATTTACTAGAGTTACCTTGCGGCTCTTCGCCGGGAAAGGTGCAAGACCCCTCACAATCACCAGAGCCGGCCACGAACAATTACCAACACATGCCAAAGCTCCTCCACTGCTCCAAGCCATCTAGGTGGTAGCAACCACCATGAGAAATAAGAAATATGTAGCCACAACGATCCCCAAATGCCACTAGATGCAATCACTCAAGCAAATGTACTTGGAATCACTCCCAATCTCACTATGATGATAAATCAATGATGGAGATGAGTGAGAGGTATTTACTTAGGCTCACAAGGATGTCAAGTATGTCAAAGTGCCAAGATAGTGAGCCCCAAGCCGGTACCTTCCTATTTAAGAGCCCAAGACTCAAAGAGCCGTTGGGCACTCTCGGGCTACCTGAACGCACTAACCAGACTCAGCCTAGTGTCCGGTAGGCCAGCGCCTAGTCGCACCGATGGCCGCCATGTGTCCTCATTCAAACCTTAGCCATCGGATCCCAATGGCCACTTAACGTTCAATGCCACAATCAACGAGTGACCAGACACGCCGCTCTAGTGACCGGACTCCAAGCCTC